AGCTGTGCTTAGTTTGCAGAGAGAAGATTGAGGGAAGGCAGGTAGCGAGTATCTGGCACAAGATACAGCAATGCGTTGAAACTGAAAAAAAGGAGATTCAGGATGAATAACAGCGATGGGGTCCCCCTTTCTGGAAGTTTTCAAACAAGGGCTGAATGGGCAGCAATTAGGGATGGATGAGTGGATTCCTGTATAAATGAAGGCCAGGATTGGAGGCCATGAATGGAGGGTAATCCCTTCATACAGATGGCTTGCTGTAAGCATTCAGTATGCGAGAAAAATCTGAGGGGCCTCCAGGACCAGCACCATCACAAAATAAAGTGATACACTCACTGCTTGGGGGAGTGTGACCCCAAAGATCCCACTCAAAAGCCAGGTGCACCCCCGAAAAGGCCAAATCCTCTTGGAGTTAAATCATGAAGCAGTCAGAAAGTTTATTTTTAAGTCAGACCTATTAGTATTTCCACATTCTCATTTTTCAAAAACTTTGAATTGGATCCCCAAAGCATGTAATCCAGACAGAAGAAGCGGGGTTCGTATGAAAGGCAAAGTCCTCTATTGAGGAACCGACCCATGATCTATGGGCTTCACCCTTGAGGCTGCGTGGACAGAGTTGGATCTTCTCTGGACTTTAGAGGGCTCCTACTGAGCCTGCACAATCCAAGGAGGTGGGCAAGCTGCCGCGTGGCTTGTGTGACGTGCCAGGGCTGGAGGGACCGTGGGGACATCAGCTTCTTCCAACCGGATTGGAAGCGGCGTATCGAACCACCTTTGACAAACTCTAAGTGAGATCCTGTGGCTTTAGGGAATTCTCACTCAATCTGCCTTCCTTACATCAGGTTTTGGAGGAGGGAATGGCGGCTTAGCCACTCCAGTCAGTCTCAGAGGTTTAATTGTCTTGATCCATTCCTTTCTGATTTCTGAACTGAACTGGGGTTGGGAAAGAAATGGGAGTTGACCCAGTTTGCTTCTGGCGTCATTGAATTTGATACTACTCTGCACTTCCCTGCCTGGGGGTTGCCATAAGGCAGTGCTTCCCAACCTGGGTAAAATTACTTAAAATTGGGTAAAAGTGTTTTTGATTTGGGTAACCACACACAAACCCATTACCCAATCACAACAGGGACATTTAAGTTGACAAAGTGTTTTATCTACATTGGGTAAAAGGGACCTTCTGATAAGCAGTTTTGGGTAATGAAGCAAAAAGTTTGGGAGGCTCCGCCCCCTCCTGCATTTTTAACATCTCTGTGAAATGGTCGAAGTGTTGGTTGGAAGTCTTATTATGCAGATGACACAGATAATACTTTGTCTTTCAGTCCTCTGTTCCTTTGCTAAACCTAAACAACTCACAGTCCCCTTCAAATCCGCCTTCTTCAATAATTGTATTTGAAAAAGAACAAAATGTGATTGAAAACAAGCTAAAAACATTTAGATGTTTAGAAAATACATGTATTTCAACCTTTTTGTCACGTATATTTACTTGTGTTGAGAGAAACGAAGCTGTTGTTAGCTTTTTAGTTCTGAGCAGGATGAGAAAAGGAGGAAGGTTGCATTTATTTTCCAATCTGCTAGTATCTAAAGTTACCTTTCAGAGATAACAATAAAAATGGAGGAAGCAGACTCACATGTTTGGGGTAACCAAAAATTCTCCAGAGTGATTTGCTGGGAGTTATGTTTGGCAGTGGAATCAAAACTGAATTTCAAAATCAATTCTCAAAAAAATTCAAAACAATTTTTTTAAAAATTCCAAAAGTTTGGTCTAGTGGTTAAGGCACCAGGCTAGAAACCAGGAGACGGTGAGTTCTAGTCCTGCCTGAGGCACGAGAGTTGGCTGGGTGACTTTGGCCAGTGCCTCTCTCTCAGCCCAACCT